CTTTATTATGGTATAGTATTTAAATATATGCCTGAGAAACACATAATATTGGCCCTTTAAGATAAATAGAGTTTGATTTTGACTGGATTGATGAATAGGCTGAGCAAGGCTAGATGAACTTGTCACAGAAAGTAAAGAAATTAGTGTTTGGTAGGTTATTTCTTTGTTGTAACAATGCTTCTTGGCAATAAATCTTGTACTGTTGAAAAGTTTGTTAACTTCCCTTTTAAATGGTGCCAGATTTGTAAGGAACATGCATTTGWGGRATGAGAAGTAGAGCTGAGTATGTGGGTTGTGAGCATGAAAAATTAGCCAAATCTTCTTTGCCAAACATCTTAGACATCTTTAGTGTTGGATCCAATTTTCACAAGCTGTAAAACATTATAATGTGACAGGGCCTTAAGTTTAGATTACTGTTGTCCCCAAACAACTCATTATCTCTTAACTGGAGTTATTTTAGGACAACTCCGCTTCTGTTTTGGCCACACTCAGGCAAGCTATTTTCTCATCAATCCAGTCAGCAAAACTTATTTTTTCAAATTTAGATCATTTTTAAAAACTATCTACAACAGGTAAGATGTTTATTGTTTATAACCTTTCCACACATACATTACTGCACTTCAAACAATCTTAATTAATCTATTAAATGTGAAATAATAATAGTAAAGTTTGATTGCAAACACATTTGTGGTTTTGGTAATAATAGTGGGAAAGATCTTTTTTGAAAAAACATTTTTATATGTGCACTATCAAAACTTAAGAGATGAAAAGTGGAGTTCATGTGATCATAGCAGGGTGACGATATTTTGGCTGAAACTGATGGTCATTCCTCAGATGTTGATATAACAACGAATTGAGTATAAATTCAATATCTCACTTCATCTGTCTCAAGTCTTGTTGACAGTTTTGGATAAGAGAAAACGATTCCACATTACTTGTTCCAGATCTTGACTCAAAATATTTGTTTTGGTCAAGAAACACTTGTTTTTTTTTCGGTGATGCAGTGGTATCCAAACAACCTCCCACTTGGCCAAACTGTTTGGACGTTGGCCTAACCAGAAGTTCAGCAAAATGAAAAGTTCAGCTAAATGGAGGGATGGGAGCGTTTTAAAAAATGCCAGTGACAGAAATGAAAAGAGCTTGTCAAAGCTCGTTTTGTGGATTTGGCTGCATTTAAGCCAGGGGTCAAGACCCCCCCACGATGCCTGAATTAGGGAGATTACAGATGAGGATCTGATAGAACCAGTGTGCTGTGAGACAACCTGAGAAGACAGCTTATGTGAAGGTAAAACTCAAGAGATGTCTTCTTTATATATATTAAAGATAAAATATAATTTTAAAGGAAAAACAAGGAGCAGAAGCTGCTTTGGACATGAAAGCCTGATATGCTACACAAACTTCACAAATAGTGGCATTTTACACAACCAGTTTGCAAATGAAAGTATTCAGCAGTGTAATTATCCCACAAGTCAAACAAGTGCCTCAACATTTACAGAATCCGTTAAACGTATGTTGTTTTTGTCCCTTCATAAAAGTCATTTATATGGTAAAATAATATAATAATTTATATTTTACATTTAGGTGAATAAATTTGTCTTCATTCAAAGACTGTGTAATAAGGGATTAACATTTTTAAAACTGTTTAATTACTTTTTATAATGCGTATTTTATTGTTTCTCTGACATTACGGAGAAAAATATTAAACAAAAACAATTATTACTGGCAATTAGAAGCTACAGCAGTCACCCCACCCAACCACCTCATTTCAAGGGGAATGAGATGATTGGTCAGCTTGACAGGACAGAACAGGAAGCACTCATTCTAGTTCTCCTGGTGTTCATGCTTGAGTTAATGGTTAGGAAGTAGGAAGGCTAAAGTCCTAGAAAGCAATAAAATTGGTAAACGCCCAAAAGAGCAGGATGACTCAAGAACATTCTTCTGTAGTTTTGAGCCAACAACWAAATGTGCTGATCCGTTTTACTCTGTGAATAGTTAACAGAAGAGATGAGAGAGGATCAACTTGTACTTTTCTTACCAGAGGGGAGAAACTAAAAACTGATACAACTAGAAAACCCTAGCTGCRTTTCCATTGACCATGAAAATGCGCAAATTAGAATTTCGAAAATAAATTTGCTCAATGGAAACACGTCAATTTCGAGAAAAAAAATATGTTTTTCGACAAAATGGTTTACACTAAGATGAGGTTGTATTTCAGCCATTTCAAAATTGGTGTTTTATGCAAAACTGCAATGGAAACACTTTTTTCGCATCACGGGTGTCACTTGATCAACAACCGACTGTTTCTACTGGCGAAAAAGACGACGAAGAAGATAACAGGAAGTAGAAATAGTAGTAATATCACAGAAGTAGTATAAAATAGTAAACTCACCGACAACAATTTCCCAAAAACACAGCATACGTAGCCGCTCCCAAGTAGGGACTTGTCGCTGGAAAGCCTCGATAAAAGACGCCAACGTCTCCTCTGATGAGCACTAGTGTCGTGGTAGCAACAAGCTATGTGTTTACATCCATTGCTGCCATGTTTGTTATGACTTATCGCGAGAACAAACGTATTCACGCGTGACTTTAATAGCATTTCTTAGTGGAAACACAGCAGTTGTGAAACTGTGTTTTTTCAACATTAACAGAATATCGACAAAGTTTTGCGCGCATTTGCAATGGAAATGCAGCCTTTGTTATTACTGCAACACTTTCATGAACAACTGCTGTTCCTTCTAATATTTTTATAGTTTTTTTTTGTTATTTTAAAGACTTCATATATGAAACATTTTTGTTCTTGTCAAAATAACGTGCGCCAGTCAAACGAGCCACTGGACGTCTGGTTGTACCTGTCGGGCCCTGTGGCTCGTCTCAATGCCATGCTTCCTCAGGCAGGCCAGACCGCGGGTGTCCGGTAAGCTGCCTGTATTCCAGTCAGATGTGGCCCCACTGTCTATGACCCACTGCAACAGAACACAAAAATGGGGCGCTAGCTAGTGCTAAGAAGTGTGTGCGGTCGTACCTGCCTGGCCACGTGCCTCATGGGCACATTATGCCTCTTCATGCAGGCTTGACCACGGTAGTCTGGAGGATTTCCTATCTCATAGGTGGAGGTAGCGGCACTGTCTATCCTCCACTAGACAGAGCAGATATGGGGAACAATAACAGCAAAATTGACACAATTGCATAAAAGGTGCTGTTTGTTTAGCACTTGCTGCACATTAGTGAACTCATTAGGACTGATTAATAAAATACAATAGATACATTTATGAGTGTTTACCATTTACTGCACAAATAGTACAGAAAATATATCTCATAATACAAACATATATCAACACTAAAAGAAGAACTAAGAAAATAATTAAAATTAAATTAATATTTTACCATTTACAACAATGTATCCATTATTTTATCTTTACAACAGAACACACTTCACTATGAGTTTTTTAAAAATGTTGTAAAATATTCATAACTTGCTTAGGAAATGGATCATTATAAACAATTTCACTGAGGTAAAAATAAATATTACCATAAGCGGCAGTGAACTAAAAATGATATTACCTTATCGACAACGCCAGCATCTGCTGCCATCTTCCTAAAGACAGCTTCAGCAATGGGTGACCTGCAGATGTTACCTGTTTAAAACAACAAATATTACTGGAATATTCCAAAAACACACACAAAAATGCTATTATAAAAGTGCTACTGTAACAAAGCTTGCATAAAAAAGGGTAAAACTAGATAATGATTTATGACGTTGTCATAAAATCAATCATGACAAAATTAAAAACAATTAATAAATAATAAATAATTATGTTATTCGTAATGTCTATTAAAATAAAACAGAGGGCATTTACAGACATTTTATCAGATGTATTAGGCAATTTTACATCGAGCAACTAACCTACAATAAGTGATCCACAAAATCGAATTAACTGAGATCTGGCTTGTAYTCCTAAAATCACAGATTTCAATTAGATCTGTATTAATTTTGTTTAAAAAAATCTAATCTACTTCTATTTCTTGGTATACTATTACTTTATTATTTTATCTGCTACCTAAGTAGAATATTCTAACTGCATTACATTAATGTTTATTACCAATTTGGTATCATTAACTTAGTCTGAAACATTTCTTTCAGCGTTGGTCTCTATTTTAATTATAAAAATTAACTTCACAACCTTCTGGTTTCTTCGTAGACATTTGCAGCGTTTATACAAAATAAGAAAACCCAACCTTTTTAGATATTCAGTTAACGTGTCTTATTTGTTAAAAGAGAGAGTTGTTATAATCTCAAGGGGATATAGATGTTTGTTAAACCCAAATTTAGAACATGTTTGAAGCAACAGAGTACTTCAGTCCAGGGTATAAGATTATGGAATAATCTAGAAAATGATATTAAAAATGTTAGATCAGTGTGTATATTTGAGAGAATAATAA